CTGACTCGACGGCACATAACAACAACAACAATGGTTTATAAAGTTGTTTGTCATGAGTATTATCTAATTTGCTCCTTATATCAGCTCTGTGAGATACTATTGCTGTCATATCAGATTTTCTTTTTTAAAAAGCTGAGAATACAAGATGTTTACCTATGTTTTACTGACTACACAAACACCTGCAACTGGATGAATCATAACAAATTATGAAAAACATTTAAAAGAATGGGAATTTCAGAACACTTAAACTTAATGGTGTTCATACAGAACCTGTACATTGACCAAGAGGCAGTTATTTGAATAAAACAAGTAGATAATGCATGATTTAAAATTGAAAGAAATGTGTCAGGGTTGTATAATTTCAGTCTGTATGCTGAGCAGATAATCCAAGAAGCTAGATTTTGTGAGGAAGAATGTGGCATAAAGACTGGAGGAAGACTCATTACCAACCTGTGATATGAGGATGTACACTTGTGCTTCCTGAAAATGAAGAGGACAAAAATTACAGTCTTCAGTATGGATTATACCTCAACATAAAGAAAATAAAACTTACAACTGGACCAAGAAGCAACATCATGATAAATGGAGAAAAGATTGAAGTTGTCAAGAGTTTAATTTTACTTGGATACACAGTCAGTGCCCATGGAAACAACAGTCGAGAAATCAGTTGACATGGCCCCAGATTATCCTTCGGGCCTACAAATGGACTCACTTCCATGGATTAGCTCTCACACCAACAGTAGAAAGACCTACCTGCATAACACCTATCCCAAGGAGATGTACCTACCTGCTCTAGGGAGATGTATTCATTCAATAAGCCAGCCATGAGACATCAGAGGGACAGCATTCACATAGAGGGCATGTGGACAGACAGGAGTGCATAGATAAGAAGGGTACAGGGAGGGGTTAGTCACAGGGAGGAGAGAGGAGGAGAATTTTTTTATGATTGGGGATGGCAGTCAAGACTGTGAAATCAAATGTGCATGAACTGTTGAATGTAAAACAAATCTGCTTTGTAAATTTGCATCCAAAGCACAATTTAAAAAAAAAAAGAAAAGAAAGAAATCAGTTAACATAATGCACTGGGCAAATATGCTGCAAAAGATCTCTCTTTAAAGTACTAGAGAGCAAAGATGTCACTTTGAAGACTAAGGTGCACCTGACCCAACCCATGTTATTTTCTGTAGCATCATGTGCATCTGAAAGCTGGACAATTAATAATAAGACCAAAGAAGAGTGCCTTTGGATTATGGTGTTGGTGAAGAATATTGAACATACCACGGCCTACCAGAACAATGAAATCTATATTGGAAGAAGTATAGCCAGAATGTTCCTTAGAAGCAAGAATTCTGAGACTTTGTCTCATTTCCTTAAGACATATTACCAGTAGAGATCAGTCCTGATGAAGGACATTATGCTTGGTAAAATGGAAGATCAGCAAAAAAGATGAAGGCCTTCAGTGAGATGGATTGATGCGATGGCTGGAACAGTGGTCTCAAACATAATCTACTATATTGAGGATGGCACAGAACTGACTTGATGGCATCTAACATCAACAACAATATCAGTTTTAGAGATTAGTAAACCCAGTTCCTCAGAGTCATATAATTGCTAAATCAGAGCCAAGTTCTAAACCCATGACTTCTGCTCTAAATTGCATGATTCCGAGGCACCAGTCTTCTCTTGATAATCAAAGCCAGGGATACGTAGAAAAAATAATTTCTTAACATTTATTAAAGGAACACATAAGAAACAAACATAAAGTTGTTAAAGTATGTGATAATAGGTGGTATATTTGGAAATAAAGTCTAGAAGGCTAGAGGACACTTCCTAAAGGAGACAGAACTTGGATTGGTCCTTAAGTAATAGATGAGATCTGGAGAGATAGAGGGAGGACGTTATGGGTTGAATTGTGTCTCCCAAAAATATGTGTTGTAAATTCTAACCTCTGTGTCTGTGGTTATAATACCATTTAGAAATGAGTTTTCTGCTGTGTTAATGAGGCAAGACTAGTGTAGGGTGTGTTTTGAGTTAATCTCTTAAAACAGATAAAAAGAGCAGATTAGGCAAGTAAAGATGGGGGAAGAGAGATGTCAAGCCACTTGAGGATGATCTAGAAGCAGAGGCTTGAAAGTGCCAGAGACCTTCCTCCAGAGTCAACAGAGAGAGAAAGCCTTCCCTAGAGGCAGCATCCTGAATTCAGATCTAACCTTCTAATCAATGAGAGAATAAATTTCTGTTTGTTAAAGCCATCCTTTTGTGTTGTTTCTGTTACAGCAGCACTAGATAACTAAGATAGAGGAGTATCTAGCAAGGACATCAGCTTGATTAAGCTTGAAGGGAGGAATGCATGCCAGGAACAGCCAAGGAGCTAACTATTGGTGTTTATATTTTTAAGAAAATTTCCTCTCTTTGTAGCAACTACAATCAGCTGAAATTTTTCACCTGATAGGATGCAAAAGTGTAATTTGTCACTGCCACTACTTTGGAGAAAAGGGACAGCGCAGAAGACTGAATGTATCTTGCTTTCCTTCAGTGTGATTTCATAAAATAAATAGTTCTTCATTCCCCTGGATTCCAGAAATAGCTTTCTCTGTGCTTGGTTAGAAAAAAATAAAACTTAAATATGTGTGGTAAATGGTATTTCTTGTGGCAGTCCTCAAAACATCACTAGATTGCCTTAAAATCTGATTGTATTTTCTGTGACAGGTTTGTGACTCTTACCCTACTGAGTTATATGTTCCCAAATCGGCCACAGCACACATCATCGTAGGGAGTTCCAAATTCCGGAGTAGACGGCGATTTCCTGCCCTTTCTTACTACTGTAAAGATAACCACGTAAGTCTCAAAGCATGCTTTTGTTTTATGCTTTGCTTTTCTTGTTTTATCATAAACAGACATTTTCTTGCTGCCTTCTAGTGTGTGTGTGTGTGTGTGCAAGTTCATTTGAATTCTTCTTAAAGGTATATGGAGGTGACTATATACAGTATGACACAGTACAACTGTGCTTAAATCCTTATCCCTTGGAAAAATTGACTTTCCATGTTTATTTGAAGTAAAGTAATGGAGTAGATTTTGTTGTTGTTGTTGTTATGTGC